CAATACAATACTTGATTGTATTAGAGGATTGTTTCATTGAAGGTTTATGCAACGAAAAATTCTTTCACACGACATCACTCTGTGATAATAAATTAAACATTATCGCACAGAAGCAGTTCAACAAATATTATTGAATCAATCGTATTGAAACTTTAAGTAAGATATCGTGCTAATAATACGCAAAAAAAAAGAATTTTTAACATTTAACAAAAATATCAATAAATTTATGAATTTGAAATCAACAAATCTGGAAATAAAAAACTATACTGAACTCGTTATAATAATCACATACATCAAATACGAGCCAAAAATGCCAGGTGTTAACATACAACTGAAACCCGTGACAAAGGTTTAAATATGCACTTTGTTAAAAATTTAAGAGATTTGTTATTTTGAACCTAATAATTCTATGAATAAATATCCGCACTCTCGTTAATGCGGTGATTTGCGCGTTATAGACTTGATCAAGCTAACCATAAAATTGAAAAAATTCGAGGTGCGAACACACATCATAGAAAGCCATCTTTTCGTATTATGATGATTATGACCCATGGTGAATTTGAGGAAGCGATCTAGTCTGTCCAGAAAATACGGAGATAGAAGGGACTACTTAAACAAATGCTTGTAAGCTTCTCATTCATTCGAGAAATGTGACACATAAAATTATAGTCTGTTACATGTAACAAGTGGAAATATATCTGAAGGAGAGAAAAACTGTACAGCTGACTATAAGAGCAAAGAGGTTACAAATACATATTTTTTGAATATCGCCGAGACGAAGGTTGCCCCTGAAGGAAGCAAAAGTCGGCATAACTTGTGAAAATTTGTAGAGCAGCTGGCAAAAATAAAGCTTAAAGCTCGAAAGTTTGAGCATTTGCCCTCGAATTGAAGAGACTTAGTCTTCGCAAATTCGGTTTATTTCTCGCTTATTACACCGTTGAAAAACAGGCAAAGATTCGCCGCCAGCTATTCGAGCAAGAAAAATGTAAAGCAACGCCTTCGAAAATTACTTACTGCTTTAATTTTCCCCAAGTTCCTCGCACGGTCACGTGGGTTATTTACCTACCAAGTTGAAAACACTGCGGGCAAACACATTACGAGCCTATTGAAACCGTCAACTATGAAACATGTTAACAAGAAAGATAAAGAATGACAGCACCTGACGAAATTTTTTCAACAAGTTTACGAATGTTATTCGACCTTCAATGTGTTTTGTGTCCGCAACGAGTACTCTATTATCTGCAAACAACGCTATACTGTCTATATCTCAGACTCTAGCCATTATCTACGACAGTGCTAAAAAGAATAGTACTATCGGCAATCGTAAAATTAATGAGACTCGCCAGTATTCAAATGGCAATATACGCGTTATTAATTTATTTTCGAGTTTATCGAACATGCTAGAAAAACTAGAGATAACGTAAATTGCCACGGAGTGTGGAAAAATGCGTGTGAAATATGAGAGAACGAAAGGATGTATTATGCAGATGTATAGAAATGACGGCTGCATACTGCGTGTATCGCTAATTTATCACGATTTGATTCTAGCGAGATAAATGTGACGGGCTTTACTTTGCACTTTGCGGAATGCATATTGTTTCAATTCGCGCTAGTACAGCTTCAGCTCTTTTGCTGCGAAAATTTATTCGCAACTAGCCAGATAAATCTCCGAGACAAGGGGAGAGCCAGAGAGCCGATCGTTAGTATTTTCCACGAACAGTTATACAATTCCAATATTTATAATAGCTCTTTTAGACTTTTGCAACTACAATGCCTCCTACTTCTTTCTGTGCAGATCCAAAAATCTGTTTGGAAATTTCCTGAACCTAACCATTGTCTATGAGCAGCTTATCGCGATGGCGGATAATTGATTTAGAATTGAATCATGGCGTCGTTATAGCCCTATTCTTAATATGGGAATAGTGAAATTTCATTTACTTGTACTTTCTTTTCTATTTGATAATCCAACACACATCGCGTACGAGGAAGGGAGCCGCGGGCGTAATGCGTTCTAAATTACGTGTCAATCGCAAAATGTATACTTGAAAAACAATGGACACTTTCTGCCTGCTCTCGCGCGATATCGTAAATTAATTTATTATCGTCCATCTAGTACAGACAAAATCTCTAATAATGTGTTGTGAACTGGCGCAGCTTATACAATTGAACGTGCACAGCGTCACTTTGAAATTTGATGTATTCAGCTGGTGAATTGCAAAACGACGATTTCTCGTCACGATCATCGACCAAGTTCGAGGTGTAAGGCTTGACCATAGAAATCAATTAGGCTAGGAAGATCTATACGATCTCGTAGCTTTTACGTAAGTTATAAAGCTCAGCCGAGCATCGAATATCAAAGAGGTGCGAGCCGACATAACACGACATGACATATAAAGAGTGTGGGAAGCTATAGCCGATTGTAATAGCTATTTATTGCAGCTGCGAGAGTTTCGCGCGGTGAAAGTGCATCGAGAGAGGCGCAAGAAAGTTAATAATCGTGCAGAGCTTATTTCAGCTTTTTTTCCTTTCCGGCTCGTCACTCTCAAACAAGTCTAACGCTTAAGTTAGGAAAGCAGATCGATCATTGCCGTATGTATATATTCAAACTTCCTACACTTATCACACGTGCAAGTTAATCTCGACGCTTACGGTTTATACACACACGTCCCGCGCGGCCATGCTAACTACCTTCTTTTTGTTTTTTCTTTTGCTATTCTTCATTTCTATCTACTCGAGAGCGACTAAACCAGTTTTGTTTGGCTATCGTGTGTTGGACATAGAAATTTGTATGCGTGTCGATCCGGAGGAAAGATGTTTTTTTTGTTCTGCTTGTAATAAGGAGAGAACCACCGACGCTTATTTATATGTCCGTTCAGAATAAAAAAAAAAGTAATAAAAACTTTCGTTTATTGTCATAAAAATCGTTATTTGTGCTTGTCATTTGCATATATGGTGATCAAGACAAATAACGTAGAATTGCAAATCGTGTATCGTATCAAGAACGTGATTGATGCATACTTATTTTAGTTTGAAAAGTATTCAAAGAAGTAATTAGTTGCGACACTTTCTTTTCGACAATATTTCTTTCTTAAATATTTCTTTGATAAATAATCGTTCAAATAGCAATTTTCCTGCTTTAGTTGAAATTCTTTTGGGTTATATCTGTTTTGCGCACTTTGTTGGCGAATAACAATACATTTCTAAAATAATACTAGATAGCGAAGGAATTGATGAAACACTAGCACCGGTAAAAAATACGTTTAGTTTTTGCGCGGAAACAGAAAAATTGGAGCAAATAGTGTCTGCATATTTTCAAAACAATGCATGTTTTGCAATCAAAAACGTTGCGCGTTATCGGTGCTTTGAAAAGCTTTTATCTCTTAAATGACGTTGATACTCGGCAGAGACGCTGTTATTTTTAATCATCGAATGATTTTTTTACAAGGTTGACTCGCGAAATTAGTTACGCAGATAATGTCGTACGTCTTATTAGTAAACAGCGATCGACGACACATTTATAGCAATAATAAGTAAGAATCCTCATAAAAATAAGATCCCTTACTTGATTCATAAGGAGTTTATCCTATGACAATAAATCAGTTTTATTTTAGAAGTCATATCTTTAACAAATAATAGTTAAATAAAAGAATGTGAATATAAACGGTGACACTGGAAAGATACGCAGCTTAGCTACTTTCGCACGCTAAAAGAATTAGTTTCTTCGCCTTGCGTGTAGAAACCAAGCATATCAGTTTTTTGCTCTGCCGATCTGCCGATCTGCCGATCAACTTGTTCGCATGCTCTGCTGCAGTTAATGCGTTTTTGTGCACAAGCACTTTATGCCGACGAAGGCACGCGTCTGAAAATACACGTCGAATTGTATTCTGCCCAATAGCCCAAAACGAAAGAGCACGATAAGAGAGAAAGAGAAAAAAATGTACATTAGAGCAAAAGGAACGGTTTCGTAAGCATTCGGCAAAATTGGCAGAGCAGCAGAGGGCTGTTACGTAAGAAGCACAAGCTCATCGCCTTTGCTCGGCCGAGGCGCGCCACTCCCTCGCTCGCTCTCGGCGCACACGCGATCTTGGCGGACTGACTTTCGGAGATAAGTGGCCACGCGCGCTATTCGCTGCTGCGCAAAAGCCAACACGTGCCGAGAAAAATGCCGAAAGCCGGCCGGCCGGCCGGCCGGTGTTTTTGCGCCGTCTGCTCGAGCGCGATTAATCCGCTGATACTAGGCGAGGATAAATTTATTGTTTTGTTTTCTTTTGTTTTCTCTCTCGCGATAAAAGCTCTCCTGTCCCAACGAGCAGTGCGTGCCCGCGCTTTGCAGAGCCTTTTTCGCTTGCGCAAGTTTCGATTGGCATTTAGTCGACCAGGAGAACGCTCGTTGCGCCTGCTTTCGTTCATTTCCACGTGCGATTCCACGTATAACGAGCAAGAATAATTTGCATATCTAAATGGAATCCAATTGTCGATTAATGCTTGACGAAGCAACGCGCGTCAATTTCCATCGCAGATGTATAAATAGACGAGCTATTCGGGTTACGTGAATGTATTATATCGTCTGGAAACTGCAGCGTCAGACCACGTCCAGCAACTCTTATGGATTCAGCGATTGCCTGAATAATATCATTCTCTCTAATCTCTTTTTTTCTCTCACGGATTTCAATTTGTTATTTTTGATTTTTATGCGGGCAACCACCAAAAACAAGTGTCGAGCGAAAGATTTCGCAAGCTCGAAACAAACACACGGTATATCCTTTCGCAGACGTAAGCTTAGCCGCTCAAATGAACATCCTTTTATTAGAAGCTTTATGTGCAGTTGGCGCGTGCCCAGAAAAATCAAATCGCCTCGCGCAGTGAGCCTTGCGACGCTTACGGGATTCGCATAATTCGCGCAAGCGCAAGCGAGTCGAGGATCGAAAAATTACGCCGCAAGCCATTGAACACCTATTTTGCGCAGCTTTCCGAAAGCTGACTCGGCGGCGAGCCTTGATACGCGCTAACCGACAAACAGTTGCGTGCCTCGAGCGACGAGTACTAGCTTGGCGAGAACCGGTCGCTTGCGAGCAAACGAAATATATATCGATCGGAGAATCGTCGCCATTTAAAGCAGTGCGCGACGACGCCGAAACAAAGAAGAAACGCAAGGATGTTTGGCGGTCGACGCGAAGGCAGCAATAACAGGTGAGCCTCGAGCGTCACAATAGGAGGGGCAGCGCTCGGAATCGGGTCCGAATTTGTGGTCCGTCTCCTCCGGAGAGCCGCGCGACCTTGAGGGCGAGCACACGAGGGGACGGCCCAGCAGGGCCAGATGCGCCCTCGTACGCGTGATCGCGATCGCCTTGTGCGGCAGGGACTTTCGGAATGGCCCTTGGCAAACTGGTTTCGGCCGCAAATTGATGCGCGCCGCCTGCACGTCGCACATGTGGGTCAGTCGGTTAATAGTTTCGTGCTCGTCCGCTTTTTCTGTTTTTTTGCCTTTCCGACTGATTTCCTTGGGGGCTCCGCGCGCAGCTCGCGGTGCAGCGAGAAAGCTTCCTCGCTTTTCGACTCGACCGAAGGCGAGCGGGCCGGCCGTGTGCGCACAATCCACGAGCGATCAGCGCTACTCCGCAAGACCCAGCGGATATCTTCGATGGCCAAGCCCACTGCGCGCCCGGTGCAACAGCTGTCAATTAGCGATGGAATAAACACATTAAAACATTGCCGCTGCCCCTTATCCATTGTTGACAATGTCGATGTGTACGAGCGTTAATTGCCTCGCGCGCATTGTCCGACACTTTCGTCCGTCGCGCCGCTTGCATATTCACAGGCCAGACAGTCGTGACAATCGTTCTAACCGATGACTTTCGCGACATGAGCGTGTCGGCTGCGAGATCCTCCATACAATGGCCGGTCTCCACGCATTAACTGCCACTAATCAAGCGTTCTTCCGTCTGCGGATGTCAGTCAAGTCTTGATGCCCGTCGTGTACGTTTTGTAGATTTATATTCTCCTTTGCCGCGAGCCAACTTTTCCATTTGGATTGCGAATGAACCATTTTGGTTTCACTGAAATACTCTGATCGGTTAAAAATAGAAAAGAGCTCACGCTGCTTGGAGAGAACAGCCAGTTTCAACTGAGATAATGTCAATATGATCTTTCATAATAGAAGCAAATTGAGTTTATGATATCAACTATTTTTGGCTGGTTTGATTGACTTCTGTAACAAAATCACATACATGTTCAATGGTATCTGCTTTTATTTTATTTCATTTCAGCTGTCAAGACTCCAACTTTCCACTGATATAAAATTGTGTAAATGGATGAAAATATACATCTTTGTGCAGATGCAATAACTTGTAATCAAATGATTAATGGTGACAGCAATCACGTTTAAATGGATTAAAAAAGGATTTTTCAAATTCAAAATCCCGCAAGTTGTGAATAACGTAAATTTCCAACAAACTAAAATATTTACACAAACATTTTTCATTCAAAGTTCATTCTAGTAATATTACAGAAAAATTCTCACTCTGCTGATAGGAGAAGCATAAAATAGCGTATATGCACAGTATTACCATTCAAGAAATTAACTCAAGTGAAAAAAAAAAGTTATTGTCTTATGTTACTGTTCTCATGGTTTCTCATTACTATTAGTTATAGTTTAGAATTATTGTAAGTTTTATGTAATTAGTTAAGCTAATTTGCGTATAGATTTTGCATGTATCGCTGCAAGTGATTTTGTAGGTTTCATAACCCGAAACCATTTTGTATAATAACAATAATCATAATAATAATAATAATATCAGCAGTAATAACACATTTGTATATTTACCATCGATTATTTGTTTGCGAGTAATCGTTTTTTATGATCTTAATGCAGTAGTAACATCTCCCTTTTTTCTCTACACAGCTTTTAAAAAGAGTGAAACCACATGCGAGTGTAGGCTATAGAAACTAGAGACTTTTTTCGTATCTAAAATTTTCTAGCAATAATCAAGTATTTATGTGTGGGGAGTATCAAGTATTCAAGTATGAAGCACCAATTCTGAAGTTGCCAAGAATGCAGCTAAGTTCGCTATCCAAATTATCGTATCTACGTATGCATAGTTGCTTGCTGCTAGAAAATTGAAGGATTTGCAAACGAGTTCTAGAGTCTGAAGTCTGCTCGCGCGAGCTTTCGCCTATTTTTAACGACGGACGTGCCGAGGAGGATTAATTTTGAATCGTGCCGAACAGATTTCCATTTGACGTTTCGCTGCGAATGGGAACGGAGAAACATAAATCCGAAGTCTAGCGCTTGCACATAATGCGCTCGAGCGATAAGTGGTGGCTGGCAAGAGCGGACGACTAATTAAGCGGCTCGTTAAATATACGAAGTCGCCTTTTTTTTTTGGCCGACGGGAGGCGCACGCGTGGCGAAGCGCGCAGTCGGCCGTGACGGGCAAATGCGCATCGATCTGTTTCCTTTGCCGGAAGTGCGCCTTGGCGCGCCCAAAAATACACAACAAAACTCGCTTGGAATCGACAGCGCGACGACGACGCAAACAAACCACGCGTCTTTATGTTCGCGCGGGCGCGTCACTCCAAGCTTACCTCTTCGCTGCCCCCCCCCCCCCTCCCCTCGCCCCGACATTTTGACAGCATTGTACAGGTTCAACAAGGGCATCTTAAATCACCCGGCGGCGAGAGAGGTTTTCAAATTAAGTCGCAATGCATGAACTCTAAGAACATCGATATCTTTCATTGTATTTCTTATTGAAATTGATACTTAAACTTTAGCAGCAAGACGGTATCACGGAGTAATGCGTTACGTAGACAAGGGCAAAACGTGTAATGTTAGCGATGATTAGACAAGTTACACTTAATTTAATTTTAAAAAAGAGAGCACCGAGCGACTGCAGCAGCTGGACTGATTGCGAAAACGAGTCGCGAGAGGAAGAGATTATATATCTGACTGGCTGTGATGCAATGCGACTGAGATGTAACTTGAAAGTCGCGTGTAAAAGACCTTTACGTAAACTTAATCGAGTGAAGAAGGGCTCCGCGTGACTTGCAGCTACAGCTGGCTCATTTCTTTTTTAATTTTTATAACGACACTGCACCCCGTGTGAAAATCATAAAAAAAGGAATACTTATAACTAGAATGTTTCAAACAAAGCTGCTAATCTCTGGTGCAAACAGTCATATCGATCGAATAAACATGGCTGTTAATTGAACGACGTGCTCGCGCGCACGATCCCATCAGATTTACCGAACCAACGGCAGCGGCATTATCAACGAAATGTGCATTCTCGCCGCGTCTATTTTTAAGGCAGCGAAATCGATACTCTCGACACGCGTACACGTTGACGAGCAGCGCTAGCAGCATCGAAGTGGCTCGACGAAAAGGCGCGCGTTAAAAACGACAAGTGGGCCGTCGGAGAACCGAGGAAGGGCCGGCGCGCCACGCCGCCGATCAAACGATACGCGTAGGAGCGAGGAATCCGGGGCACGAGAGCGTAAGCCCCTACGGTCCTTCGCGCGCATTTGCGCGGCGCGAGCCGAAGGCCGTGTGAACGCGACGTCAGAATCCGCAGCGCGACGCGCGATAAGCTCGGAGGCTCGCTATTTTATTACCTCGCTTGCAAGCCCAACGATAACACCGCGCGCGGACTGCAGCGAGCTTCGCGCTTGCAAGCTGCCGTCGAGAGCTTCGCTCGCGCGGATAAACCGAGAAGCGGTTAACGGCGAGTCAACGACACGTCAATCGTACGCTCGTGCGAGTAATGCCAGTCTACCGTTTGCCGAGTTGATTCCTCGTAAAGTTCGCGTGATGCTGTACAAATTAACGCGTGGGAAATGCAACAGCTCTGCATTTCGCTAGAACTGCGGTTCCACTTCTGAACGGGAAAGTCGGCGTAATTTTGACTTTCAGTGCGAAACGAACAACCAATTAGATGTACTTATACAGCAAAGACACTCGTGAATTATTCATCGGCATCGAGATCTCCGTTTTTTCTCTCCTGAATATTGATTCGACCAGCTTAGCCGATCGTTAAAATATGAATGCATAATGCGGCGGCAGAGGAAAAATTTTTCTTCCACGCCCGTTCAATTCAGCACGTGGAATCGCGCTAGTTGCCGGCTTACGTAAGCGAATCGCGAAAGAAATTATAAAAATCATTGCTAGAAAGCCCCTCCCGCGGCATTTTCGTTCAATTAGTAGCGACGCAGCTTTCTAACGTAAATCTTCGCTGGGAAAATCAGCGAGGACTCCTGTTTCGTATGTATAGGTTTTTACAACCGAATAATCAAGATAGGCAGTGCACAGGTGATTTGCGCTAGCAATAAAAAGAAACCCGCGCGGAGTAGCTCGAGGCGCAATCCGTCCGCGACTTCCTCCATGCGCAAACTCTCTCGTCGTCGGCGACTTCCTTTTCTAACGATGCGCGCGCCTTTCTCCATATTCTGGCTCGCCGTCTCATTTTTATTATTATTATTTTTCGCTGCATTTCGACTTCACGCGGACGAACAGCTCGCAATCTCACGACGACGGAAATAGACGCGCGGGCTGTCGATGTTACGCTTCGATTGGACGTAAAATCGGGCGGACGTTTAGTGGAGCGAGACACTCGCGACGATAATGTTGCGCGGACAGCCAAAAAAAAAAGATGCATCGACTACGTCGCTCATCGAAACCGTACCGAGGTGGTGGACGAGCCGCACACTCGGCGCTCGTTAACAATAATGCAAGTGATGCCGGCGAGGGTTGAAAACGAGTATTTAAAGCTCGCTGCTTCCGTCTGCCTTAATCCACACCACGGACGGAGAAAATCGAGGATCAGAGCCGAGTCGAGGGAAGAGAGCAGGCGGCAGCTCTGGTCGACTCGGTTCTCGCGCTGATGCGCACGACGCACGTGTGCGGCGACGACGCGGGCGCGCACTCGTTCGTTCAAGAGCGCCGGCAGATGTCGCGTGCTCGGCCGTCGACTGTTCGCCTACGGCCTTCGCGCGACGCACGCCGCAGGCAGAATATTCGCGAAGCGACGCTGTGCCGCCGGGCGTGGAGCGATCGGTCGATCGACGGCGCGCCGCGCTTATTTTCAGCCGGGCTGCGGACGACGCCCGGCGAAACAGAACTCGCGCTCGAACATTGTCGCCGCTGCTTGCGATCTGGGCTCGGCCGAGTCGCGAGCTCGTGGTCGAGCAAACGACCAGAGGGGCAATTGGTTGGAAAATGCGCTCGCGAGCCGCGACGAGCTGTTTCGGAGCAGCGGTCCGACCAGCTTTGCACGAAAGCCTACAACGCGCGGCCAAAAAAACTCGGCGCGGCGTGGCATTCGAATACTCCTGCTGCCACCCGCGCAAAATTCAGACGATCGAGCGGCGGCGATCGAACGCGAACGCAGCTGGCCAAGTGATTTTTGGCCACTTGACTTTTCGCACGATCACAGGGAGGCCGGACGACGAAACGCAAAGCTAAATGCGCGAGGGACGCGACAGCTCGTTCACGACCTCGCGTCGAGTAAGTCGAGCATCCAATTGAAAAATTGGCAGGTGAGCTTCGCGAGGAAGAAGCGGAGGCTCGCGTAACCCTATTCGATTAGGCGTCCGAACGTGTAAGGTCGTATACGCGTCCCTAAGCCGGTCAAGTCAGTGGATCCGCGTGTAGAAGAACGAGGCGACGGTCGCCCGAAGAATGGCTTCTCTCAGCGCGGCCTTGAGCCATCTCCTTCCTTGCGCACTGAGAAAATCGCTCGGAGCCATTCTCACAGACAGTCATTATAACACACGCCAGTCGGACGCAATCTGTTTCCCTGATTTTGTTAAGAAGCGTCCCTTGTTTTTTTTTTCTGGCGTTCCGTGCTTACGGGCCTGAGCTGCGCGCTAGTAAACAAGTTCGAAGGTTCGCGCTTGCTGTCTACGTGCTCTTCAGCACACTCTCTCCTGGACTGTCGCCCCGCGAGATCAGCAGAAGCGTAGCGCTCTCTCTCTCTCTCTCCCTCCCTCTGTATACCTATATACCACGACTTCGGTAGCATAGCTCAAGTGCCCGAAGTTTTCCGAGTTTAATGAGTCGCGTACGTAGTGTTCGTTATCTGGACAAGACGCCATGTTAGCTAAAAGTTTAGCTCGAGCATCGTGCCAAAATCTCTCCTTTGCATTCCTTTGACTGACAACACAAGGGCGAATATTTGCGAATTGTGTTCGGATGGGAAAAAATGGCGTAAAAGTGTCCTGTAGCGTTCAAAAACTAAGGTGATTCTCGAAGAAATGGTAACAAACGTGAGTGGCTTCGTGTGGTCTTTCAACTTGAAATGCAGTTCTCTTTTTTCTTATTCCTTTTTTTCGCAACACCGTTGAGATAAAAATACAATTTATGTGCCAAACAGTTTCATCTGGAGCAGCTTCTTCTTATTCCCGTCATCTTTTTATAGAGCTATGTATTCATTGGCTTCTCATCAAAAATTGTTATCTCACAGCTTCAAAACGCTGCAATTCAATTTAACGAGCAAATATCAGAGAATCGTGCGCGCGCGTGTGGGTGTTTTTTTCTTTATCTGTGCGAAAACGCTTTTGCGCAAAGTTCAATTACTTTTTCGAACGTTTCGCAATTGCACAGCCACCCACAGAACGAGCTTATCTCCG